GCCTGGGCTCAGCCGTCTGCTCCACGCTGCAGATACTCATTCCTGAAGGAAGCTGAGGGTCATGAATGTGCAGCCCTCTCCTTTAGCAGGTGCTGCCAGGGGTTTAGAATGCGCATCCCTGAACACTGGGACGCACGCAGCACAAGATCCCCCCACTCCCTGGCACCCCCAGACTAGGGGTGGCTCTCCCTAAACTCCCACAAAGTTCAGCTGCCTCACGTAGCTTCACGTGTAGAATGCAGACTGTCAACTCCTTAGAGGCAAGCACACGGCTCATAGTAAGGATATGCTGATGAGCGTATCACTTGGTTGAGACACTAAAAGCAGTCGAAAGAACTGCGAGAGGGTTCCCCTTGTTCAATATTCATAAAGAGGATGTTTGGCTCATTGGGGAGATGCCCAAATCTATAGGGCGTCTCTTCGAATAAGCCCAGCTCTCCGCCATCCCCTAAGTCCTGGAGCTCCCGTCCCACACAAACCGCGCTGTGGGACCCAGGGCCAAGTAGGTCCCCCTAGAAAAGCAGGCCAGTCCCGCTTGGAGTAAGGCAGCCGGGGCAGGTGGTGACTGCAGGTGATGGAGAGCCACTGCGTAACCATGTGACCAACGTGACAAAGACAGGATGACTTCAGTGACCTCGCGCTGTCTGTGGAACGTCCACAAACATCTCCGCCGTGTGTTTACCCTTTGTAATTTTTATTTACAGCACCATTGAACATCTTTCACTGTCAAAGGTCTGCTTTGGCGCGCCCATCACTGGGGGACCCCATGTACGATCAGCCCCGAGTTCTTTAAACTTTGTATCTTCCCGGGGTGTTCAGCCCTTTGGTGTCCCTGCACCACACTGGGGGAAGAGTTCTTGTCTTGGGCCACACAGTGAATACATTGTGACATGTAATCACAAAAATAACTTATAATGTCTTAAATAAATTTACGATTTTGTGTTGGGCCACACTCGTAGCCATCCTGGGCTGCAGGTTGGATGCCCCTCGTAGGCTTTTAATAATTCCTCCAATAATTCCCCAAATGTGACAATTACATCTTGGCAAGAATTGCCGGTGAGGACAGAAGGAAGACTTTAAGCAACAGAACTCCCCATCGTACTGTAACATAACTTCAGACCGCCAAGAGGGGTCGCTGTCTTTTGAAAATCATTGTCCTTGTCCGACTATTCCCATTAGAATGCAAAGCAGGTCCCGAGTCTCTGCCTGGCATTGTACGAAGAGGAGACAGTTGATCCATCTAGCAACATTCCAGAAAGTTCCATGTAAACAACAAGGTCCAGAATAAAACACTGGGAAAGAGAAGCTTCAGAAAATGACGTGTCTACTTTAGGTAAACTCCCAATTCATAGGAACATTTAGATAACGAGGAGGGTGGCGAGGCAAGTTCCATCTGAGCCACTAATTTCCTAATTCAATAACTGCATTCCCGGGGCTACTCACAGGCAAATACACTCAGAAGTACAACTGGGTGACGGTGTAGCGGGTACATGACAGTTGTAGAGCAGGCAATCAATCAGTGATCATTACTCAGTCTGAATTCAAAACACAAATCAGGTCGTGGTTCCTCATTTTTTTTTTTTTCCAAACCAGTCTTTTTTCCCAGTTGTCGACTGCAAAAGTGTGGAGGTACATTTAAAAGCAGGATAATTGCAAAGCAGAAAATGCATTTTGTTGTCTCAGGGAAAAATGGATATGATTTGGCAATGGGTAAGTTAGCCGTAATCGATAAAGTCCTTCTACTGACATCTGAACTTGTTGCCAGCAGTAAAATGAGCTGCTTGGCAGGGACCAAAAACAGGAAAGATCATTAAGTTTAAAATTGTGGAGAATTAGGTACCTTAACCCCAAGAATCAATTGGGCTGATGATACCTGGTCCAACTTTGTAGTGGGTTTGCCACATGGAGGATACTCATGGGTTGAAGAGACATTCCAGGAAAATGAGAGCAAATGCTTTTTTCTTCATTCCATTCAGTGTTACAGTGACCAATCTAAATAATCGACTTTGCAAGGGCTTTTTTACAAATTACAGTTTTTCTCTAAACTTCTAAAGTTCTTACGTAGAGATGACGTGATTATACTTTTTATGAGTCACACTGTTTATAAATAATTCGATTTCCTCTTTTAAAATATTCTTTAAAAGAGCAAAAGATTCCTAGATGGAGAGCGAGATGACAGTTGGCGGAGTTGAGGGGTAGAAGGACCGAGCGAAAAGGAAAAAGGACGCAGGGGCAGGGACCACAGTGCAGTGCGGTGATTGCTGGGGGGAGGGGTGTATACGGGGGCTGAATGGTAATGGGAAAAAATGCAACAACAATTACATAAAAATTAAAATCAAAAAAATTAAAAAATAAAAGAGCAAATTCTGCAGATTATCATAAAAGGATTATTGGGGGCTGGCAGAACGGTTGTCAGCGATCCGCTCAGAAGTCGGCGGCTCAGAGCCGGGGGCACTGTGCCTCCCAGGGGGCGTGTTGCGATGTCCGGAGGCACTTTTGGTTGTCACAACTTGGGAGGCGGCTACCAGCATCTCACAGGTGGAGGCCAGGGATGCTGCTAAAATCCTACAGTGCACAGGACAGCCACACGCCACAGGAATTAACCAGTTTAAAATGTCAGCAATGCCGAGACTGGGAAAGCACAGCGAAGCTCTTACTCTCTCCCGAGGGGGCTGCTTGTTATAATCCCAAATCTGTCTCCGTAGATTCTTTGACTTTCAAAGCGCCCATTTCCATGGAAGTTCCTGATTTGCCCCCGACTACAGTTCGGTTAGCTGGTGTCCAAAAAAGGGAAAAGTAACTAAATATGGAGAATATTTTAAATTCTTCTTCAAACAGTGTTTCCCTATTGATATTTTATCAAAAAAAATTAGAGGAATAACTTTTTTCTATCACCAGCAGAATCTGGTAGGCCTACGGATATTCGTAATGGCCAACTAACGTGAAAAAAATTAACCTCTATTTTCAAATACCGACTGAAAGTTGGAAAATGAAAGTGGATACAGCACTTCCTGCAACTGTGCTGAAATACGGTGGAAAGGACTCTTTTTGGAGACATAGCAAGGACAGAAGACCAATGCGATGTGTCACCCCTCGTCCTCCAGGTCAGCGTACAGGACCGCCAGTCCTGACCCAACACACAAACGATGCCTCAGACTTTGTAAAGATTTTTTCAGAGAGAGAGCGAGAGAGAGAGAGAGAGACAGAGGGAGAGAGAGAGAGAGAGAGAATTTTCTGACATTAACTAAGCACACAGGGACACTAAACTGAGTGATAGTATTTTTTTTTTTAATCTCAGAGAAAAAAACGATGTTCTTTAAATCCACTGCTTGCCCGCTGCTACTGCAATCCAGCGGGGCTGACTGAAAGGACACTCTTCCCCTCCCCTTGGGAGAACGGAAGTGCAGGAGCAGTGAAGCGCTCGGGAAACCCAGGTAAAAATAAAAACACTCCACAGCAGGCGTCAAGGTGCCTGGGATGGCAAACGAAGCACCGATACAAAAATATTGCACTTGCTCAGCTTGTCGGGACATTATTAAATGCACTCCGTCAAAATGTCTTAAAATGGTATTATTTCACGTTGGCTCTACTCCATAATTTGGTATGTTCATAAGTGTCTGTCAAGATAACTTTTGGGAGGTTAGATTTCATTATATTGGAATTAAGTGCCTTTTCCTTCCTTTCCAGAAGAGCACTTTAGGGATTAATTAAAGAACATTCTTTAGATGGAAACGAATATGCATTCCTGTAGCCAGTTGCACAAAAGCTATGCAATTACCATTTTTCCCTTTTAATAAAAGCTGAATAACGTGAAATCAAATTAGACCTTCAAATATGGAAGAGATAAATTTCTTCTTTGGCTCCAGAAGGGCACTCCAAGCAACATTTATGTATGAGAATTTGGCTCATGGATCACCGTGGTGAGTTTCATAGAGAATCCCCTGTTTCGTGTGAGTATATGCCACACTTTTAATACTAAAAACAAAATATCATATATCCCCCCCTTTTTTTTTTAAGCAATAAAGCATATATAGCCTAATCCAATAAACTCCTAGGGGTAAAACATATTTAGGTATTTTTCTATTTACCTAAGTCACGGCCAATGTAAACTCAGATAATAGATTTTCAAGAAATAAAAAAATCCCTATCCTACTGAGGACAGCGGTTTACTTATTTTTAAGACTTGGGATTTCAGACTGAGCTACTTTTTCTTAAATGGTGCTTGTGTTGGGAAGTGTGGCTGCTTTGTCTGTTGCCAGCTCAGTACTTCTGAGGAATACTGAGCAGGATCCAAAGCTCAGGGCCTAGGAGAGGATCATTTTCCATCAACTCTGCAACCCATCAAAGAAGATTCTAGTCCTCCGGCGGGGTACTGCCCATTTTCTCATACCTATTTTGAGACTGTTCTGATTAAAATATCGCTGCCTGCACTATTTTTTACATATACAACAGTTGCTTCTCCAATATCAATATAGGTCAGTTATGGTGAAAAAGCCAAACCAGATTCTAATAGATGTATATAACTTGGTAACATGGGTCAGAGACATAAAACTGTCAGCTCCTCAGAACACAATAAAGTCAGCAACAAAATGCCTTCTCATTTCTCCCCTGGACATATACTTTTGCATCAAGTTACTACAGTTGGCAACTGTAATAAATACTTTAAAATATATCTAATAAAAGGACAATCAATCTCGCTTCATGTGGGGGCAGGAATGAGTATTCAAGGTCGTATGTTCATCTGTCCAAGAAGTGCTCACTTTCTCCTGATAAATGCTTCATAGATTAATGTGATCATATAAAAAAAAAGACGCAAAGGAAATCTGGACAAATAAGTAAGTCATTACTAAGGAATACATGAAAACCGAGTCCCAGTGGACTGACTCTAAAAGACAGTGTATAAATCCTTATGTCATACTTAAGGAAATAGAAATATTCTTGTACTTCCAAGTGAAAAAAGAAAAATAGTTTATATATTTAAACATTTGAAACACCCAGTTCACAGCAGAAAGTAAACATTCATTTTCTTTCCACTTCACAAAACAAAATGGTCAAAAAGCATTTTGACCCCCAAGAAACTCTACTTCCTCTGCTGTTCTGAGAGCATTTTCTGTCTTACTGGGTATCCATTTTATATTTATTTAAAAACGAGTTAAAGAAAAAATGGTTGCAGTGACGAGACTCTTTTTCCCCTTTTAAAATCTTCCAGTGGAATGGAGAAAAAACAGCCATCACAGTCCCGAAGTTTCTGCGGAGTCCTTGGCAATGAGCTCACCTGAGCGTCGGCTGGAAGTTCCAATCAGTGTAAAACAAACACTTCTTCGAGTCCCGTGTCCTCAGCCACTGAGTCCCAGCCTCCAACGTCCCCGGTAGATACACGAGCGCAGTTTGCTTCAGACAATAAAAGAGCAAACTCGAACCGTTGACGAGCAGCCTGAGACACCAGGATCCTGCAAAGGGTCACCTTACCAGTCACATAAGAATGAACAGACACAGTCAGTGAACACCCCAAAGAGCCAGCCCCTCGCTGACCACAGAGAGTGCACGCTGTGGGTGTGGTCAGCGCCTGCGGCCCAGCCAGCTCTCTCCACAAGCCTCGCCGGCAGGTTTAAAGTGCCTCATCTGTCCAGTGTGTGTCCGTGGGTCCCAGGTTAAAAATATGTGCTGTTGCTATAACACAGGTCCTCCTGAGTTTTGGTGAAATCTTGTCGTCCATGAGCGCTCACGCAGCTGTCCAAAGGCACTTCAATAGCTGCTTCTCTAACTTCGCCGCCGCCGAGGCCTTCACTCCGGTACAGGTCTCGCGGAGGACAGCCATTGTGCTCGGCAAAGCCGTTGACGTGGGCCAGGGGCAGCGCACGGGGCGGACAGCACAGGTGCTTGGCACAGGCCTCGGAGATGCAAGGGGAGCTGCAGAGTGACAGCATGTCCTTCTGCTCCGGGGGTTCCTGCACGTCCACGCTCTCAAACTGGATGGTCACATTGTGGACTCCTGCGTGGTGGAAGATTTCTCGAATTTTCGCGCTGGTGTCTGCGTATCCCCTGTCCTTCTGACACTTGATGTGCAGCGTGGCGATGATCTTCCCGCTCACCAGCTCCCAGACGTGCACTTCATGAACGCTGCTGACGCCTGGCACGGCGGAGAGCTTGCTCACTAGAACAGGGGAGACAGACGACAGCCCGGGTGAGAGCTAGAATTGCAGCGTGGAACTGCTTTCGGGGGGGGTATCATCCCTTTTAAGCATTCTCACCAGAATGATGTATTTACTAAGAATAACAGGAAGAAAAAGAGCCTCACCTACACCAGGCCGTTTCCCTATCACCTTCCTTCTCTTCTCTGAACTCCTCTACCGGACATGGTTAGCCCATAGAAGGCAATTCGAGAAAATAAGTTTAACAGCAGCAGCCACAGATGCCGAGGGTGGCTGGGGTTACAAAGGAAGGGCCTGCTAGTGGACAGCCGGCAGGAATACAAAGCAGGGAGCTTATACCACAGGGGGTAACTGGGTCGTGCGGACCTAGGACGTTTGTCGGCCATTCTGATACTAGGAATTGAACCTACAGGAGATCACCAAATACTACTTACAAGAATGGTTCGGGCGATATTCTTCGTATAAATTTAAAAAACGGAAACAATGAGGAAATAGTTAAATCAATTCTGTGATAGAATATGATACGGTCGTGAAAAATTAAGTTGCCTATTTAAGGATACGAGAAACAAGCAAATAGCTAAACTATACATATAGCATGACCTTTTTTTTTTTTTTTTTACAAAACATCAGTGTATATACATCAAAAAAATTTTTTTAGGCAGATAAGTCTTGTTTTACTGAATGATTAATACAAAAATATTGGGAGTGGTAATTTCTGGGGGGCAGGATTATAAAAGAGCTCCCTTCTCTTATTTAGGCTCTTCTATTTTTTCCATACTGTCTTAAATTAGGATGTAGAGAGATGGCACTGAACAGTGATTACGGGCAGAGAGCCACTACAGCCAACGGGAGTCTGAATCCCAGTTAGGTCATGACCTTTAGTCACTACCTGCGTGACCTTGGCCCATTTACCTAGCCCCTCTGTCCCTGAGTTTCCTTATCCATAAATTAGAAATGAAAAAGATAGTATTTCACAAGATTATTTTAAGGACGAAAATGAGTTAATTTAAGTAAATCTCTTAGAATACCTAGCGTCTAATAAGGGCCATAAAAGTGTGGCTGTTGTGATTATTATCTATGTTTTAAATATCTCTTTTTACATATATATATACACACACACACACATATATATCCGCTCCTCAGTGTCTCCTTCTCCCAACCTGCCCACGTCACTGAGCCCAGAGCAGGCCCAGGAAATGGAGGCTGATTATTTCAGCTCCGTCCCTGAAAGCGGCCAGAGAGCTGTCCCCACCTACCTGCCTCTCAGAGGGACAGTCAATTCACCAATGCTGCCAAAGAAGAGACCAACAACAACAGCAACAACAAAAAGTAAAAAGAATATCCAGGGGAAAGATCACAGAAGGAGTCAAAGCCGATGCGTAAGGCCGGGCCCCAACGCCGCTATCAGCAGCCGGCCGCCGGGCCACGGCCTTCACAGGGCCGTCACGGCCTCCGCAGGGGACCGTCTAGCCATGGCCACCCAGTGTATTAAGACCCATGTCAATCTAATTTCAGGTATTTTTCCTCAACAAGTTCTCCCAGCTCCCAGCCTCATAGCCGCGTGGCGGACCGGGGCTCTATGTCATGTTCACTGGCTCCATGGTAGAACGCACACTAGCAAATCCCCACAAAAACTTTTTTCTGTAGAAACATCACTTCCATTTAGAAACACTAAAAATGAAGTGGCACATGCGGTGTTTCTCACCAACATCTGGATAGTTCCCATTCAGAAATTCTACAAAGTCTCTAACACTTCCCCTCAGAGGCACAGAACTCAAGTGAGAGTTCGACCTTGTGTTAGAAGAGGGCAAAAAAACCCCAAACGAACAACAATAAAAAAACCCAACCATTCTTCGCCGTGGAGCGAGGTGGCAAATGATGGGAATTTACACACTATCCTTTTGCAGTGCTGTAAGAGACACAGCGGGCAACGCGCCCATAAAACTCCGCTGACGAGAAAGCAGGGCCTAGGGTGCAAGCGATCGTGGCTTCAGAATGAGGAGGCGCAAAAGCAAGTCCTTGGCAGAGTGGCCTCCCCGGAGGGAAAATGAATCTCCGACGTGCTAGCCAGGAAGCGTTACTGCCTGAGCACGACGTTCTCCCCAAATGGGCAGCTGTGTCGCCGAGTCCCGCGCTGCAAAGGACCTCGGGCTCCTGGAGCCCGTGCTCCGGCCCGCTAAGCTCCAGAACAGGGGAGCGGTGTCTCCCTTCCCGCGGGCGCGCCTCGTCCCGGATGCAGGACGCAGGCGCCGCCCTGCATTAGCGCTGGCCCTCCGGCCTAAGGCACAGGAAGGGGCATCCGACTTACGCAGCTCTTCCACGTTGACTCCTTTGGGGACCATCTGCAGCAGAATGGCGGCGGTCTCCTTGATGAGCGGGAAGGCAGATGACAGGATGATGGCGACCATGGCGACCGTCAGGCTGGGGTCGATGTAGCACTGCCAGTTACAGTGTTCGTCCTCATTCAGGGGCAGCACGTAGAATATGATGGCCGTGATGACCACCACCACCGAGCCCAGGGCATCGCCCATCACGTGCAGGAGCACACCTGGCGGGGAGAGAGCAAGGCCGTGGGGCGCAGATCCAGGTTGCGGAGCCCCGTGACCCTCAGGGACTCAGGGTCCCACGTCTGTGAAGACGTATTGCTGTTGGTTTTCTTTTGGGTTAGAACACCAGGGTGGATTCCAATTTCTTTTTAAAAAATGGCCACTGTTTTGCAGAAAACAGAACCCCCGGCCTCTAAGAAGTGGGAGGGGGACCGACCTGGGACCACTCTGAGCTGCGGTCACCTGCAGGAAGAGGGACTGGGCCAGGTCACCATGTCACATTGCCGCCACCCAGCACCCTTCAGAGGGCGCCGAGCTGGAGAACAGAGGCTGCGCAAATGATTTCTCTTTCTTTCAGCCTGTACTTCTGTTTGGTTTAAACATTTTTAAGAGGAAAGGGAATAGGATACATCTTTTATTCTTTGTCTTCCCTCTACCTGGATCCCATTGCCCCTCCCCTACGTGCCTTTGCCTCCTTCTCACTTAGCCCGTGGTCATTTAAACGGAATTAAAAAAAAAAATTATTGGTTTGAGAGAGAGAAAGGAAAGGAGAGAGAGAGACATCAATTTGTGGTTCCACTTATTCATGCCCTCATTGGTTGCGTCTCCTTTGTGCTCTGACTGGGGATTGAACCCGCAACCTTGGCACATTAGGACAAGGCTCTAACCCACTGAGCAACCCGGCCAGGGCCTAAACCACATTTGGTTTAAGACATCCTCAAGAACAGGGACTCCAGCCCTGTTCCCACTGTGTAAAGAGCCAGTAAAAGAAAATTAAAATTCTACAGATAACAAAAATTGTGGATGCCTTTAATGAAGGAGCCAGTTTCCAGAGGCTTCCCTTCAGTTCCCTTGTGATACTGAAAACACGCAGTCCCAGCAAAGAAAGCCTAGATGTCCAATGGCTTGTTAGACAAAGTAAACTGCGATTTAATGAATTTAGGTGAAGATCTTGTGAGGAGGATGATAGAATATCAATACAACGCATTTTTAAAATTTCATTGGAATGAGAGAAACGGAAATGCAAACCAAGAAATGATTTCTGTTCTCGATGATCCCCATCGGCTGTTTGATCCCCTGCAGGTTGGGGGAGACGCCTGCTTCCTAAAGCGGTGGCTTAACTGTCACACATGTGAGCATCCAGGGGGCTGGGTGGAGCCCAGAGGCAGTAGTTAGTGTGCGCTCCTGGGAAGAGCCTGGGACACCAGCCCTGCCCTTGGGACACCAGGACACCAGCGAGCGGCGGTGACTCTGAAAGCTGCCAGATTCCTTGGACCCCGTTTCCTCATCTGGGCAGGGGAAAGGGGAGAGGTCTTTTCCCTAAGGTCTTCCCAGCCCTAACATTCTGTGGTCTTCCCCTGAATCATGGCTCTAAGATGCAGACTCTGGACCTAAGGTGAGGCCAGCCTCCCCCCATTCCGAAATACCGGGTGGTCCCCGCTGGCCAAAGCTCAGCTCTGAGCTCAGCCTGGCCGAGGCAGCCCAGCGGTGAGCCCGGCAGCTCCCCGAGCTCGCCACCTGGACGCCAGCACCTCCGCCTGTGAGACCACAGCAAACCCTGAGTGACTCATCGTGAATGGGGCCTGGCACGGAGCAGGCACGCCATAAAGCTCGCAGCTGCTTTTCCTCCCTCGGGCCTGGGCCTGAGACTGCGTGTACTTTGTCTCGCACCATCCAGGAAGTAGATATGATTGTGTTCATTTTAAAGACGAGGACATTAGAGGCCTAGAGAGGAGGTCACAGAGCCTTACGGGGCAGAGCCAGGACCCAAGCGCAGGCCGTTTGAGCCCACACCCCAGCCTTTCGGCCGCTTGCCTCACTTGCCTGGGTAGGGAGCTAGGGGTGCGCTCACGTCAGTGCCTGAGGACCACAGGCACCACCAGGTACAATAAGGCGTTTTACCCCCGGCGGTTTTCTACCCAGGAGCGCTGGCGGCTTTAGCCTGAAAATTAGCAAGACTCCACGTGTCCCCTACGTTATGCTTCCCAAATTAGGCCACACTATCTATCAGTACCTGTTCTTAATTCTCCTTGGCCTCTTTCCACTTACCTGTTCTCTTTTTCTATGACAGAAGAATGATTCGTTAGCAGAATATGCTTTGAAAAGTTAAAGTGATAGGATGGTGAGCTCAATCTTAAAAACCTACAACATACGTTTTTTAAAGGGAACCCAAAAGAAGAAAGATAAAGGATGGTGACTGTTTATTACAGATTCCCTTTCCAAGAAGATTCACCACTGAGCTCTTCAGCAGTTCCCTGTTGCTGGAAAGCACATGATTCTCTAACCACCATGCTGTACACCTAAAATGAATACAAACTAATACTGAATATAAACTGTGATTGAAGAAATAAAATTTTTTTTAAAAAAAATTATATAATAAAATAATGGGTGAAGAACGAAAGCTCTTAGAGAAAACTTTCTCAACCCCTGAGAGGAGCAGATTATCACATGTCACAGAACAAAACCAGTGTCACTAAGTCATGTCTCATTTTAAAATCCCAAAACTATTAAAAATCTCAATGCTTTCATTGGCGTTGGTTGTTTCTGTGGATATAAGACTATATAGCTTAATGATGTTAATTTATTATTTAGAAATGTCTATATATTCTGTTCTACTCTAAGAGCTTTCCCTTAGTTGATTCTATCATGCCCATAATAAAATAAAAACTAAACAAATAAAAAGAAAGAAATTCCCACGTTGCAGCTAAGTTTCACAAACTAATTCATTTAGAATTTTTATGAGCTCACATGTTATTGTTATTTTCTGATTTTCCCTATAGATCCATCCTGGGTATCACTTTGTAAAACAGTTGTGAGACTCAAAAATAAAGCTGTCTCCTGGATTATTAGTTTTCCTTTATATTATTTCCATCTAAGCCCACTACGGTCTTCCCCAAACCGTCTGAAAGTAAAAGGTAGCAGAGTCTTTGTTGAAATTCTCAAAATCAAGGCTGAGGATTGACCCAAAACAAAGTCAGTGTCCGACGAGTTGGGAAGGAGAGATGGTAGACACAGTTCTGGTGCCTGGTGAGAACTGCACCTCAGGACTCCCTGGGCTGGCCTTCGCCCCGTGCTCTGACCTTGAGCACTTGGGAGGTACCTTCCATGTGCCTCCCCAGAACCCCCACTTTGGCCCTGGACGTGGCCATTCAAGTCAGGCAACAGGCCCATCGCGGAAGCAGATCTTTGGCAGAAAGAACCGGGGCGATGAGGGTCATTCACCGATGCTGCCTTAGATAGCTGCCCACCTACTCACTTCCCGCGTTTACCAAAATGATCGTCAGCTAAAACAGGCCGCATTTTATGGTAGCGAGATCCATGGCTGGGCAAAAGCGGGGGAAATGGGAACAGGCCCCGACCTGGGAGGCTCTGGAGCAGGCAGCACGAGCTCGGGTCTGAGTCGGGCAAGGGTCGGTCAGTAGCAGCGAGCATCTCCCTCGGAATCAATGAGGCGATGGTGCAAGAGCCAGGGTCATAGTCTATGCATGTAACCTGCCTGCTGTCTCACACACCTCGTTCAAAGGCAAACAGAAAGCCAAGAGCACAGCCCAGCCCATGTGGATCTCTGAAAAGGATTTCCAGCTGACCCGAAGACTTCCTTACCTCGGATGTTCAGGGCTTCCGACTTCTTCTCCTTTTTCATCGTCTCTTCCGGTTCATTCTGGATGTTCAGGGGATCACCTGCATTCAAAGAAGAAACCTTGTGTTGTGTATAAGTTCTACAAACAAAAAGAACCAATGGTCTCAAAAAAAAGGTTTGTTATTTCAAATTTCTCCTAGCTTATCAGACACACACACACACACACACACACACACACACACACAGAACCAGTAGTCCATGCTGGTCTTGACATTAGCCTTGCCGTCTACCCCTAGACTTCATTCACAAATTTCACACAATTATAATAAAAAGAGGCGAGTGGCACCTCCCCCCCACACCCACCCATAATTCCCGAGGGAACAGAAGCATGGACAAAGGGAGAGAGAGGGGGGAAAAAGTGCAGATAGCATCTGAAAAAGGGGGGAGGAGTGGGGAGTGCTATCTGTTGCCCAACGATAACTGATTTCCAAGGAAATCAATATTTCTGTACAGAAAGAATAGGGGGAAGGGAATACACACAAAGCGGACCCGGGGATCCAGGAGAAACGTGGAGAATAAAAGAAATCGTGGGACATACGTTGAGTTAGCAGAAGAGGATTAAAGCAGGACTGCAGAGGAAATGGATTTTTTTTTTTTTTTTTAAAGAAGAGAGGAGAAAAAAAGGGCGTGGGAAGAGGAGGAGGGGACCGCGAGAGGCGGGAGGAGGGAAGGACAAAGTGGTCCAGAGGATGCATCAGAAAGGCACCTGCTATGTTGGCGAACACGATCGCCCCCTTCCCCGCGGTCTTCCCCTGAGAGGCCACGCGAAGGGTCACGGCCGCGTCCGGGCCGGGGGCTGTGCAGGCGGCGCCCTGCGGTCCCTCGAAAGCGCCGTCAGCGCCGCCCTTGGCCACCTGCTGCGGGCGGCGGCGGCAGCGGCGAAGGCAGGAGAGGCAGGTGGCGCAGTCCTGGAAGACGAGCAGCCCCACCACATTGACCGCCAGCCCCAGGGTGCCGACGATGAGCACCAGCTCAGGGTCGTCGATGCGCTCGGGCTCCACCAGGCGCAGCACGGCCTCCACGAAGATGGTGAAGCAGAGCGCGGTGAGGAAGACCGCGTTGCAGAGCGCGCCCACCACCTCGGCTCGCCCGTAGCCGTAGGTGGCCCGGAAGCCCCCGGGGGCGCGGCGCGCGATGTAGCCGGTGCTCAGCCCCACGCACAGCGAGATCAGGTCCGACAGCATATTGAACGAGTCCGAGAGCAGAGCGATCGAGTTGCCCAGGTAGCCCGACACCAGCTCGGCCACGAAGAAGACGACCGTGAGCACGAGCATGAAGATTAAGCGGCACGTCTTGCCCGAGTAGCGGCCCATGCCTCCGCGGTGCGCGCGCCGGACCGGCCGCTGCGACAGGTGGCGCCCCCAACTTCGCCGATCCCGGTACCCGCCTCCCGGCCTCCCCGCCGCCCTGCGCTGGGCTCTTTATAAGGCGGAGGCAGAGCGTCCAGTCCCTGCATGGCCAGAGTCTAAAGGACTGGGCCGGGCGGCGGCCGTATCTACACAGACCTTACGCCGCCTCCGCCGGTGGCCTCTTCCCCTCCCTCGCGTCCCAGGCTTCCCCTGGCAGGCAGCCAAGAGCCAACGTCTAGCCTTCTAGGACAGAACTGGGCACGGCAGGGAGCTGCTGAGAAGAGGGAGCGTGTCTGCCTGTCACTTCTCACAGACCCCGCCCCCCCACCCCCAAGCCGAAGTGCGATCCACCCAAGGACTCACTCCCTTGTCTAATGCCTTCCATCACCAAAACCCTGCCGGCCCTTCATGATAAGGACCTGCCCGCTGTGGGTGTGCTGGCCGTAGTGGACGTGCACAGCTTTGCGTACAGGCCCAGACGTGGCTTGCATTACAGAGTCCTGATTAGCAGGTAAGGCCTGGGTGCGCTCCCCTGGCCAACCCCGCCCTTCGGGGCGCTCCCTGCTTGGCGCTCCGAGCACTTTGAGCTGACCCCTCGCGCAGCGCTCCCACTCCGCGACCACCCGCGGTGTAACTTGTATCCTCTCTGCCTGCTCACAGCCTTCATAAAGGGCACGTCATCGCTTCTGTCACCCCTCTTCGCACAGTGCCACCCCTGACCCCCCCCCCTTAGGGATCGTCATGCACAAGGCCTGCCCTCCCAGGTGAAGGACAGACAGCCCCGAGGAGCGCACGGGTGACACCACTGTGCCCATGGGACTGCCCACCCAGCCCCCAGAAGCACGGGTCCCATCGGGGAGGCAGGGCAGTCCTGTTCTGTGTCCTTGTATCATACTCCCCTGGAGAGGATATTCAGTGCAGCCCCTGCGTCCCCCACAGCATGACCTGATACTCACAGGTCAACCGACTAACCCCCCATGAAGGCTCATTCCAAATCGTCTTCAGTGTTGACAGAGGATCTGTTCCAAGTGAAAGTTGTCCAGAGGAGCGTGGGATCCAGGGCTGCGAGAGAGGCCCAGCGAGGGGTCTTCGGAGAAGGGTGTTCGCGCTTGGTCAGCGTAGGGAGTGGGGTGGGGGCCTTGCAGGCTTCTTTACTGGTTTGGTTTCGTATAAACTTGCCTCATTCCCAAAAAGATTTGAAGGGGAAGTCTGGTGATTGCTATTCTCTCTCCCCCATCTGCAAACCCTGAACTTTAACCATTCCTGCAAAAACACAGTGCTTTTTGGCTTGGAAATGACCACAAATGTCTCACGCGAAGAAACCACAGAACCCGGTAGCAGAACATTCTGATTCCAGCCTCACTCGCTGCCTTAGCCTTGTAAAGCGTAGCCTTGTAAAGCGTAGCCTTGTCTTTTAATGCCCTCTGTGCTAAACCATCCTTGATCCGAGGTCTCCACGTTTTCCCAGGGAAGCCTCCACACTCAGCAAGCCTGAGAGGCACCTCCTCCACCCCTCCAGCCCTGCCAGGAAAGTAACCCTGCACAGAGAACTTGGGGAGACCGATCTTCTAGACCATTCTCAAAAAATCAGTATTACAATGATCAATAATTTAAAAGAAGTCAGGCGGTCAAAGTTTTGAAAACATGTAACTTGGCACAAAATAATCTAAAGTGTCTGAACTGCTATTAAAAGGGAGTAAATAATAGTGAAGATTAAATGGATTAATAGGTACATAGGAGGTACTTGGTAAACGTGAGCTGCTTATTTAACCAAAAAAAAAAGGCTGACCTGACAGGAAGGAAATAAAAGTTCAGGGCGAGGAGGAAGAGTCTGGGAGGGAGGAGGTCCAGAGGTCCCCATGTTATCATTGGTGTGTGAGTGTCATTACAGCCTGTGGAACAGAATTGCCGTTGAATCACAGGCAACACACTCGAATACACAAACAGGTGAGTCAGGCTGTGCTCCGTCCCGGCTCTGGCTGCTGCCACGTTCAGGCCAAGAGACCGCAGGGACCTGCGGCAGGACAGCCCACAAAGCAGCTGAAGGGAGAGAGGAGGACTTGGGGGAAGCACTTGCCTGCAGGGCTACGGTGTTCCCGCCCAAGCACTTCTCAGTGCTTCGCAGCGGGAGGAAAAGCCTGAGGTCAGCAGACACGCGTGGTGGCAGAGCACAAGACCTTGCCACTGGCCCGGGGGCGCAGGAGGGGGCGCAGGAGGGCCCTGGATGTGCCTTCGTGCCTGGCCCAGGGCCTCGCTCCTGACGTGAAGATGGCCAAGGGAGTCAGCAAAATGCACTCGGGAAAATGCTTCGAGGTCCACCCATGCTGTCCCAGAAGGTAAGATTTCCTTCCTTTTTAGTGCCAAGTAGTATTCCATTGGTATACATAAACCATAGCTTTTTCATCCGCTTATCTGTTGATGGGCACTTGGGCTGCTTATTTACAAATCGTGGCGATTGTAAATAAGGCTGCAATGAACATAGGGGAGCACGTACTCTTTCCAATTAGTGTTTTGGGTTTCTTAGGATCTATTCCCAGAGGTGGAATCGCTGGGTCGTAATGCTAAGTGAAACCAGCCAATCAGAGAAGGATAAATACCATATGATTCCACTTATATGTGGACTCTAATGAACGAAATAAACTAACAATAGGAACAGACTCAGAGGCAGAGAGCAGGCTGACAGCTGGCAGAGGGAGGGGGGAAAGGGGCCGGGTGAGAAGGCGAAGGGATTACGTAAATAAAAAAGCACCTCATAGACTCGGACAACAGTGAACACCAGAGGGAAAGGGGTGGGGGGAGGCAGGAGAGGATAAGAGGGGGGAAATGGTGACGGAAGGAGGCGTGACTTGGGGTGGTGAACACACAAAGCAATGCTATAGAGTCGTACACCTGAAACCTACATAGTTTTGTTAACCCATATCACCCCAACAAAGTCATAAAAATTAACTTAAGAAAGATGTTCTAACTGATATTATATGTAATATATAAAATGATATATATTTATCCATTTTATTTACTTATTTATATTTTACATAACTACCTATAAATATGAATATGTAAGTGTATATATACTATATAAATATTTATATATGTGAAACTGTGATTTGGTGAATTTATATAATATGTAGCACAAAGGTTCTTTTTGTACCCAAGAGGAAGCATTTTGTCTCTCGAACTTTTTTAGAATTCCGTCACTTTAGGAGCGTCTTACCTTGAGGTGACTCCTCTTCCATGACAGAGACATGAGTGTGAAAAGGAAAGGTAAGGTCATGGTCAAGGCCACTTTGAAAAACACAAACAACCCACCTAAAAAATGGGCAAAGGGCCTGAACAGACACTTCCCCACAGAGGAATACAGAGGGCCCACAGACATATGAAAAGATGCTCAATGTCACTAATCATCAGAGAGATGCAAATTCAAACCACAGTGAGGTATCATCTCACACCGGTCAGAAAGGCCATCATCAATGAATCAACAAACAACAAGCGCTGGCGAGGACATGGAGAAAGGGGGCCCCTTTTGCGCTGTTGGTGGGACTGCAGACCGGCGCAGCCACTGCAGAAAGCAGTAGGGAGATACTTCAAAGAATTAAAAATGGATCTGCCTTTTGACCCAGCGATTCCACTTTTGGGAATATATCCGAAGGAACCCAAAATACTAACTCAAAAGAATATAAGTACCTCTATGCTCATTGCAGCGTTATTTACAATTGCCAAGATATGGAAGTGTCCATCAATTAATGAGTAGATAAAACAACTATGGGACATTTACACAATGGAATTCTACTCGGCCGTAAAAAAGAAAATTTTACCCTTTGCAACAGTATGGATGGACCTAGAGAACATTATGCTAAGTGAAATAAACCAGTCAGAGAAAGACAAGTGCCATATGATTTCATTCATATGTGGAATCTAACGAACAAGCTGAACTAACAAGCAAAACAGAGACAGACTCATGGATGGAGAGCAGATGACAGCCAGTTGGCGGGCCGGTTAAGGGGTGAAGGGATTGAGCAAAAGTAAAAAGGACTCATGGACAAGGACAACAGTGTGGTGATCGCTGGGGGGAGGGGGTATAAGGGGACTAAATGGTAATGGAAAAAATACAATACAGATTAAATTGTAAAATCAAGACCACTCTGGGTGGGCTGTTGATGGGGAGACATACTCGGCCGCGCTGTGGGTCGCAGCCCACGCAGGAGGGGGCAGCGCTCACAGGCGCTCAGAGCGGTGCCCGTCAGCCTGCTGAGTGGCGCCTCCATGATTTCTCCAAAATGCCACTTGTCCTTACAGCAAAGGGGTACATCTTCTCCGAGCACTAGTCCCGGAAGTGGTCAAGAATACCAGCCCCAACATAACATCTATTAATATGACTTGCTTCTTAAGAAAAGACCTGACTCTGGATCACTTAAATTTTGCATTTGCTTTAGGAAAACTCAAAAAGCAAAGGAGCGGAGGAGTTAATGGTTTGGCGTCAGCCAGGCATGGAACCACATCGTGGCTCTGCTAGTCACCGGCTCTGTGACCCGGGTGAGCTCCTTATGTCTCCTCTGTCCTCATCTGCGAATTAAGGAGAATAACCATATGTATCTCATGGGGCTGTCATGAGACTTCAGTGGGAAAATTATATAAATCATGCTTAGTGTGGTGCCAGGTTCTTAGAAAAGACTCAATCAGTATGGACAAAAAATAGCCACCACGTTGATTTTTAAATCCAAGTTTAGGAAGAGGGAAATATTTCTCTTTACCAAAAGATTCACCTAAGGTTACTTTTCGAGAAAAATATACATTTAAGGATTTGTCTTGTTTGGGTTCAGAATGAAAAACCCCGAAATGTGCCTCTGGGGTGTGTGGATTGTTTCGTGCTAAAGGCAACAGAGACCCGGCAGGCTCGAGAGAAACTTATGACCCGCTCTACCTACCTACAGGAATTTGATTTAGGGATGTTGCTCCTAATAAGACAT